GCTCCTCTGCAGCCCGCCGGCCCCGACCCTGCTCTGCGCCCTCCGCAGAGCGGGGAACTGGGCGGCCTGGCGCCCCCTGAACTTTCGGGCCGTAATTATGTAGATCTGTATCTGTCTCTGTGTCACACACTTAGGCGGACGTAAACGTTTTCTTCTGTGCAGTTCTCCCTGAGCCTCCGCGTATTTAAACATTTCCGGGGCAAATGAGAGCGAACGAAAGCCCCCGAGGTTGCCCAAGAGGACTAAATTCCAGGGCCACCATGGAATCTGCTAACCTGGTGTGAATTCCAGCTCTCCTCCTTACCGCCTTCGACCTCAACCAAATTGCTTTACCTCCCCCTCTGATTTCTCTAAAATGGGGAGAACTGCGTGGTGGCGCACGCCTGTAATCCCAGCACTCAGCAGGCTGAGGCAGGAGGATCGCTGTGAGTTTGAGACCAGCCTGGGCTACACAGTGAGTTCCAGGTCAGTCTCAACTACATGGTGAGACCCTGTCTCAAAAACACCAGAATAAATAAATAAAATAAAATGGGGAGAACAGTAGCTACTAGTGGCTGATTTGAATTAACATACACACAGACTTTAGGGCACGGGGAGCTGACTTACTCTAGGGTTGGTTTGTGGAGATGGGGATCTCATTTCGTTGCCTGTTGATGGCTCTGAGCTGGGCTCAGTCAGTCTCCTGCCTCAGCCTCCCTAGTGTCTGGGACTACAGACACGCGCCACCGTGCCCAGGTCCTAAGAGGACAATTTCAATATCCAACAAGCTTTGGTAAGCTGTTGGAGCTGCTGGGCCTGAGTCTAACTCCTCCTTTTCTCAGTGCTTTGTAAAGTGAACTTTTAGGAGTGAAATTTCAGCTCAAAAATAGGAAATATGAAAATGGAAGTAATGGAATCGGGAGGAAGTATGACTAATCATACACGGACGGAATCATGACCCCGGGAGGCCACAATGACTGCCTTCTCTGCGTTCGGGTCTCAGCACCACCGAATCCAACTACATGCTTAATTCAAACTCAGCAGGAAGGGGCTGGGGATTTAGCTCAGTGGTTCAGTGTGAGCGCAAGGTCCCGAGTTCTATATCCGGTACCAAAAATAAAGAAGGCTGCCCAGCTCCTAGGCAGGCGCTGTGCCCCGGGCTTCAGAGGTGGATCGAGCCCTCTCCTTTCCCCAGGCCCTAAAACTGGAAGAGGCGGTGGGGCCTCACCCACACCCCTGTAGCTGAACCCTCAATGGTGGGGGATTTAGCTCAGTGGTTCCGCCATCTGCTTCGTAAGTGCAAGGTCCCGAGTTGATACCCGGTTCAAAAAAAAGAAGTCCCCCCCATAAATAAACCAATGTCCATGGTCACATGGGGAAAGATAGGCCAGGATCACAATTTGAACTTGGAAAAGACATTAAAGCTGATCTGGTGAGGCATGCCTGGCTCTAGCCTCGAGAGCCCAAGTGGCTCCTTGCAATCTTTGAGGTCTGTCTTCTTCAAAGAGAAACTTCCGGATATCTTGTTTTTTTTGAGACAGGGTCTTGTGATGTAGTCCCTGCTGGCCTCTAACTCCAGGCAATCGTCCTGCCTCAGGCTGCCAAGTGCTGGGATTATACCTGGCATCTCTTTCTAAAGTCACTGTATTCTGAGAATTGCTATCAAGTCCTCTAGCATCTAGCTCTCTACTCCGAGGTAAATAGTATTTACTCCGATGCACTTTGCTCAGTTGGACGATCCAGTCTTTCTGTTGTCTCCAAATACATTCAGAATGAGAATGCCTCTCATTACCTCTGCTACTGCTGCAGCTGTGGTTCAAACCCAGCCTCAGGTGAGATAAGAGATTAGGGCGTGGAGAAGCCGGCTGGGGAAGTGGGCGTGACCCATAACAGGTGCCCAGAACCTTTCCCAGAGCCCTGCAGCTGGACTTCTCGCTAGAATTTGAGCAGGTTTCCAATAGGATGCCTAGACCTGAAGTCAGGCTGAGATGTGGGACCCCAGCACCGCCTCTCAGGACCCGGATGTAGAAGTTCTCCTGGGTTTTCTCGAGATTTAGACAGCATAAGAGACATCAACGTCGTGAAGGCTTTGCTGTCACTGTTTCCCAGACACTGTGTGCTTTTATCTTTTCTCACCCTCTTTTCTCTTCACCCAGCCCAAGCTCGCTCTGCAAAGCCAGTTTCTCTCCCACTCTGTTTTTGCTTTCTTGAATAAACTTTGCCACTGCTTTTTGCTCACTTCATTCAATTCTTTGTTTGAGGCAAAAAGAACCTGGGCTCCAACTCCAGAAGGAGGGTTGAGTAATCTAAAACCTGGCTCAGTTGGTGAGCCACTTTTTAGAAACAAGCTACCTGATAACAGAAGAACTACAGAGAATTGTGCTCCTGTTTCCACACTGGCCCACATGCCAGCCAGGATTTCAGAAGCTCTCACTCCTCTGCTCAGAAATCCTATAAAGAGCAGGGCATGGTGGCACACAGATGTAATCCCAGCACTCAGGAGGCTGAGGCAGGAGGACTGCCCTTAGTTATTTGAGGCCAGCTTGAACTACATAGCAAGACCCTCTCTCAAAAGAAAACACAGACCCTCTAAAAAACTCCATTTCTGGGGCTGGGGATTTAGCTCAGTGGTTCCGCTGCCTGCCTTGCAAGCGCAAGGACCCGAGTTCGATCCTCAGTACCAAAAACCAAACCAAAACAAAACAAAAAACCCATTTCCCTCAGAGTGAAAAACAAAGACTTGACAGTAGCATTTTGAGGCAGGAAGTGGCAAGTTCCTTCATGCTAAATTGAACAAAAGACTGATGGTACTTTGGTCTTGGCAACGAGCAGCCGCCACAATCTGTTTTAATCAATCGATGCCAACCTTTCCATCAGTGACCTAAAGTCAAACAGCAGGAGCCACACTAGTGCTCCTGCTTCTAAAGGTCAGCTCATCGCTGAACCCTGTGGAATCTGTCTGCCAACCTCTGAACCCCATGCTTCCCCAAACGCTACATGAGATCCACAGGTTTCTTTCTTCAGAGAGGTTCTGTCTGCTGAGCACTGTTGTGTCTTGCTCAGTAGGAGGAAGTATATTCAATTTTGTTTGTTCCAGCTGTGAATGGTGGCCTCCTTGTTGGCTCCTACGGGGTCTGGGATCTATCTATTCCTTCTCCACTCCTGCTCTAAACTCATCTCTTTCTACTTTCGCCAGCTCACTGTACTCCTTGCAGTCTCTATTTCTGCCAGGAATTCTGCCTCAGGGCCTTTGCACTGGCTATTCCAACTGTCCAGTACATTCTCCTTTCAGATATCTTCCTCACCGCCTTCCATGTCTTAATGAGGCCAGCCTTGAACACTTACCTGAAAATTGCAATTTCCGCTGCTCCCTCCACTCTCCCTTAGTTGCTTTTCTTCAATCACACTTATCACCCTCGGTCTTCCTTTCCTTGTTGCTGGGACAAAATACCCAATACCTGTGAGCTAAAGGAGGAGAGGTTTATTTTGGCTCACAGTTTGTAGAGATTTTAGTACATGACCAGTTCCAAGGCAGAACAGCATGGCAAAGGGGAATAGTGGAGAGATAGCTGCTCTATGGAGTCCAGGAAGTGGTGTGGGGAGAGAGAGAGGCGGGGGAGGGGGGGACCCTCCAGTCCCCTACCTCTTCTGACCAGATGTTGTAACAGCAGGTCAGCTGTGATGCCCCACACAATCACATTCTAAACACAAGAGGCTTTCAGGACCATTTTTAGGTCTAAATCATAACATTCCACCCTGGCCCACTCTAAGACTCGTGCATACCTCTTTCTGCAAAATGCATTTAGTCCATCTCTAAGAGTCGCCCCAGTTTTGAACAGTTCCACCATTGCTGAGAAGTCCGAGTCCAAAGTATCCTCTAAGACGCAAAGCAAGCTCCTAGCTGTGAGCCCCTGTAAAAATCAAAGAGAAAGTTAAAGATTTCCAACTACCTGTGGCACAGGGGAACCACTCGTTTCCACAAGAAAGGAATGGAGGGAGAGAAACCCCGGGAACAAAAGTCAGCGCAAACTCCAGCAGGGCGAGCATTCCTGAGTCCTTCCAGGTCCGCACCTGGGCAAGTTAGGGCACGGTGTGAGGACGGCCCTGCCTGGGCGTTCCAGGGGCTGTGGCTCTCGTGGCTCCTCGCCGGCGGTGGCTCGGCTCACTCTGCAGCCTTCTCCAGTTGGCACTTTCGGCCTCGCTCTCACAACTTCCGGCCCTGGCCCCTCAGGGGCGCGCATGCGGGGCTCCCCGGCCACCTTCTGCAGTCTGGGCGGAAGCCTCCCAGACCTCAACAACTCCTGTATTCTGCTTGCTCAGGAAGTAGCTGGGCCCTCTGGGGCCGCGACTCAGAGGTCTCAGAAAGCCTGAATGACAGAGCACCGTTGGTGGAATCCCTAGGTGGCAGTTCCTGAGCACAGGGCCTCGAGCACCCTTCTCAAAGGTGGTTCTCACTTTTGCAGTTTTGAGCCTGTGCAGGGTAGGGCCTTGCTGATTCTTCACATGCCCTTAAGCTATTTTTCCTAGGATCTGGCTCCAAGTACTTGGCTTCTTTTAATGCTAGTCTCTTTATGACCAATCTGCACACACACTAAATGCTTGACAATGCTAGTCAACTAGGTACCTTTTTTTTTTTTTTTTTGTACCGGGAATCAAACTTGGGACCTTTGCTTGCAAGGCAGGTGGTGGCACCCCTGAGCTAAATCCCTGGCCCTATTGGTACCTTTTTACAGCCGCTAGGGTGGCTACAAAAAGGTAAATGATACAGTGCTGTCAAGGATGTGAAGGAATTAGAACTTGTACAAAAACGTGTACATGGATGTCCACAGAAGCTTTATTTCTATAGTCAAAAAGTAGAACCATCAGTCCGTCGACTGAGGAGTGGATAAACAGGTATGGTACAGCCAGCCAATGGAGGGCTATTTGGCCAGAAAGATGAATGAAGCTCTGATACGTGCTACGTGGATTACCTGAAGAGCATTATCTAAATGAAACAAGCAGACACAAAGGACCCCCAATTATAGGACTTTGTACGTTCCGCACCCCATGGAGACAAGTCTGCAGAGACCGGAAATAGACCCTGGGAGTATCGAGGAAGTAGGGGAGGAGAGGGGACAACTACAACGCATGAGTTTATTTTTAAATTTAATTTGACTTTCTTTGAGGCAGAGTCTCACTATGTAGTTGAGGCTTGCCTTGAACTGTCTGTGTACCCCAGATGCCCTCAAACGCGCGGTCCTCTTGTCTCAGCCTCCAGGGTACTAGGCTTACAGGCATGGACCAACATGCCTGGCCTGATCTGGGTTTTCTTTTTCTTTCTTTCTGCTTCTCTTCCAGTGATGACGATGTTCTAAAATTGTGGTAGTGGTTGCAGGAGTCTGTGAATGTAGTAAAACCCACCGAATCATTCACTTCAACTTGCTGAATTGTATGGGCCGTAAGTGATACCTCGAGAAAGCTGTTACTGACAGAATCTTACCCAGGGTTGCTATCTTTTGTGGAGCTCATACATATTGACCAGAAGAACACCAGAAAAATGAACAAAGAATATAACATAGAAAACTCGAAAAGGAAAAGTACAAATGGCTTCAAGTACAAATGAAAACGAGAAGCCTGTCAGATGGGCGAGTGATTTTCTGTCCAGGATGACGCTGAAGGTGTGCAGAGATGGCTGTTCTCACGCACTGGCGGGGAGAACCTTGTGGAAGGCAGTACACGTGCACCTGCACCGTTATGGTGCTCTTACCCTCCTACTCAGAAAGATCATAGAAATGTAAGGGCTTACAATAAATAATGAGATTTTCAGAAGAGCACAGTCAAAAATACAAAAAGAAAAATTGGAGGAAACCATCTAGTAAGTCAGGTAAATGGCTCCCGATGATCACCACCTCCTGGCGTTCACACCTCTGTGTAATCCCCTTCCTTGGGATGTATTGGATTTATTGCTTTCCTCTAGTGAAGGGAATGCAGCAGGCAAAATGCAGGGTCACTTCCACCCCTAATCCGTAACTCCAGATTAGGTTACAAACAACTGTGAGTTCCACTGTTGTAACAAATACAAAACATATCAACTTATAAAGCGAGGAGGTTGATTCTGGCTCACGGTTTTAGAGGTTCAGTTCAGGTCAGTTGGTTCCGTTGCTCTTGAGCCTTTACGATGATGGGGGCAGTGTTAAGGAGCAAAGCTGCTCACATTATGGCCAGGAGCAAAAGAGATGGAGGTGCAGAATTGCTTTACGGACGTCCCCAGTGTCTCAGTGTCTTCAACAAGTTCCACCACTTCGGGATGAAGTCTTTGGGAGTCACTTAAGATCCATAGTACAGCTGGTGATCTTTCCCTCTTCTCTGTCCAACAGAGGCACAAAGGAACAGATCTCAACAGCAAGGAGCTACATTCTACAACCACCAAGGCACAAAGAGAAGTGGGTTCCCATAGCTCAGATGTTACCTTCCTTGTAGCCTTGATAAACTGTCACACACAGCCTCTTCCAGATTCTTACCCCACAAGGACAGAGAAATCCAAGGTCTGTTTTTTTAAGCCACTGTTTGGGGATAATTTACATAACAAATAATCAGTAAAACCTAATCACCTAACAATTTGAAATACTTAAAGTATGTCACAATACACAATATTATACTGATACTGAAAATGTTTGTATTTTATTTATTTATTTAGAGATAGGGTCTCACTTTGTGGTTGAGGCTGACCTGGAAATCACTATGTAGCCTGGGTTGGTCTCAGACTCACAGCGATCCTCCTGCCTCAGCCTCCCGAGTGCTGGGATTAATATGTTTTTAAATAAATTAAAGTTTTATTTATTTGTTTATTTATAGGTGCTGCGAACTGAACCCAGCTCCGTGTAGATGATAGCCACAGGCTGTACCACTGAGCCACACCCCCAGGCCCCTAAAGAATTTTTAATAACGTGGGAAGATACTGAGAATAAAGCAAACTACAAAAACACGTACTAGGATCTCAATCTCAAATTTTTTTTATGTCAATATTTATATTAACACTTGCAGAGAAAACCTGTGCGTCAAAAGGTGACAGTATTATTCTGTAAAGCAGAGTAAGTGCTCAGGGGGTATTCATGGATTTCGGCTAGAAAATAATTCACTGGGTCTTTTTGTTTTTCTCTTTTGAGCCAGGATCTCACTATGCAACCCTGGCTGTCCCAGTTCAGTTCCTGCCTCAGCCTCCCACGAGCTGCCTCGAGCCCCGCCACACTCAGCTTCTTCGGGTTTATTGGACTGAACATCTACAGCGCGTCAGCCGGGGCTGGGGGTAGTGGGGAACACAGGGGTGCTCGCTCCTCGAGCTCGTCTCCTCATGACTTCTCGGGGTGCTTTCTTCCAGGGCAGCTGTCTAGGTCTGTTTTGCACCACTCTGGCTGGGTAATTTATAATAAACAGAAACGCACTGGCCCATGGTTCTGGAGGCCAGGATGCCCAAACCCCAGGGAGACCTGGTCCCGTGTGCAGGGCCTCCTGGCTGTGCCGCCTTAGGGGGAGGGGGGGAGGCCAAGTCACTTTTATGCCGAGTCCGCTCCCCAGATACCCACCCCTCCGGCAGGGCCCGGCCCCCCACGCCTCTTCGCCTCTGAAAGACCTCGCCTGTGTCAGCGCTGCTGCATTGGGATTACATCTCAACACCTGAGCCGGGTGAGTGGGGCCCTCAACCTGAGGGAGAGGCAGAGACATCTCCAGTAGTGCATCTGAGGCCCACAACGTTTGGAGCAAAAGGGCACCGTGAAAAGCCAAGGTTTGTTTATTCTGGGGCCAGGCTCCGGTAATTTGAGTGGAGGGGAGTAGGGTACTTGGTTTCAAGTCCTGGGGCTGCCAACCACCTGCTGAGCGAGGCCGGGAAACAGGCTTCACCTGCAGATCGCTGCCTTCCTCCTGTCCTTTGAAGACAACAATGTAGCTCTGAGGGCTGGCGGGCGACAGTGTGAGAGCTCGCTGAGGACCTGGCGCACTGCAAACCCGCCCAGATTGTGAGCCGTGATCACTGGGTGGCAGTGAATGTTGTTAAAGGAACCAAGACGGCGAATAACTGTGATTACTGGGGAAGAGTAAGAGTTATTAATCTCTCTCTCCCGCAGCGGAATCGTGCCATCTATTAGAGGTTGTCCTAGCTGAACCAGTCATGGGAGTAATTTATATGCGGTGTGGCCGTTAGCAGGTGGATCAGAGGTGCCCCGCGGAAGAAATAAAAGGCAGTCAATTTTAATAAGGACTCTGGGGGCCACCCTAGAAGAGGCGGGCAGTGAAGCAGGTGGAACCAGGAAGGAGGGGCTGCAGCGGGAGGTGGAGAGCGGGGCGGTGAGGCCACAGGTGTCTCCAGATGTCTCCCCATCTTTTGGGCCAGGACAGCTTCTGAGGGCGTTTAGCGATTCCACACTGAAGGTGCCATGTTCTCCGAATATCGTTCAATATGAAAAGGACACACTGCTGTAAAACATGTGGACGGGATTCACACAGGGCTCCAACTTCCCCCCAAGATGGGCACTTTGATATGTTTTTCTTTTCCTTTTTCCTCCAATATGGGGATCAAACTCAGGACCTTGTGCTTACAAGACAGGCGCATGGTGACACTGAGTTAAATCCCCTGTCCTGAAAAGTTTTTCAATACCAAGTTCTTCTTCATTTATTTTGGTATTTCTCAGATAGGATCTTGCTATGTAGTCCAGGCTGAGCTTGAACTTGTGATCCTCCTGCCTCAGCTTCCTGAGTGCTGGGATTCCAGGTGTGCACCACCACTCCTGGCCATATCTATCTTTTTGGTCATGGCACCCTTGTGCCGGGAGCAATGCCTGACCCTAAAGTGAATGAAGATTTACTAAATGAATGCATCACCGAATGATTGACCCCCACTCCCTCACTTCCATCAGTACCTGGGCCAACTCGGCCAGCTCTGTGCCTGTCATTTGGCCTCTGTCCCCAGGACCGTTGCACTTGCTCTGCCTCCAAGTCAGAGCCCCTCCCACTGGAGGGTCTCAATAAGAACCCAGGCAAGGGGAAAAAGTCTAAGCACACACTGAATTCACACCAGGGACTTTTCTGAATCTAGTTAAGCGTGGCACATGTGACCTCACTTGGAGGAGTCCCTGGGTCACACACCTGCCCTCCAGAGTTGCCACAACCCCTGCCCTGATCCCCCCAGAAACATACGGTTCTCCTGGCTGCGAAGCCTTCTCTGAGTAATCTTAGTGATTCATCTGTGGAACGGTTGGGAGCTCTAGAGACCACCTGGCTTGACAGGCACCAGTTCTGACCAGGCCAGTGCGGTCCGCAGAGGCAACAACAAAACAAGGGAGTTTAGATACCTTCAATCCTTACCCCCCCACCAGGCTATTTCTCACGTTTTTGTTACCTGCCTGACCTCTGAAAACAAGACTCAGGAGGCACAGGCCTATGATCCCAGCACTGGGGAGGCTGAGGCAGGAAGATCACTGTTAGTTTGAGGCCAGCCTGGGCTACATAGTGAGTTCAAGGCCAGCCTGGACTATACAGCAAGATTCTATTTTGGTTTTGTTTTTTTGTTTTGAGACAGTCTCGCTTTGTAGTTCAGGCTGGCCTTGAACTCACTATACAGCCAGGCTGGCCTCCAACTTGGGGTGCTGCTCCTGTGTCACTCTCTGGAGTGCTGGGATTACAGGTGTGCACCACTACATCCTGCAAGATCCTGTTTCATAAAAACCAATTCAAGCCAGGCATGGTTGAGCAGGCCTGTAATCCCAGTACTTGGGAAGCTGAGGCAGGAGGATCGCTGTGAGTTCAGGACCAGCCTGGGCTACCGAGTGAGTCCCAGATCAGTCTCAACTACAGAGTGAGACCCCGTCTCAAAAAACCAAAAATAAACAAAGAAAAAAATCCAAACCAAAACAAACAAACAGGCTTGAGTTTTGGCCATGGATCTCCAACCTGCCCCACCACGCGCGCACACACACCACACACACACACACACACACGCACACTCACACTCCCCAGCCCCCTCCCCAGCAGAGAAGCCGTAGAGATGTCCTTGCCTTCGAAACCCAGCTCAGGTCTAAATCCCTGACAATGTATCTTCTGCCCCAGTAGCCCGCCTTTCTACTGCCGGGTCCTCCTGGTTTCCATCTGTTATCGTTTGTGCACAGGGCCCGCTACTGTCATCAATCAGGACGGGAGTCACCCCTGTGCAGCTTACCCCCCACAGACAAGGGCCAGAGGCTTGGGTCCCCGGAGCCCAGTCTGCAGGTGTCGGAACCTTTAAGGGGTAGGAAAGTGGGAGGGGCCAGGTCTGGGCGCAGCCAACGAAGTCCCGCGGGATTAGGTCCTCATCGCGAGAGCAGGCTGGGCCCTCGCTTCTGCTTTTTCCTGTCTGGCCCTGTGGTTTTTTTTTCTGTGCGAACCCCTGGTTCTGCTACGCAGTGGCCCTGAGGCCTTCGCTCTTGAATCTCCCAAACCGTGAGTAAATAAAGACCTTTTCTTTATAAAGTTCCCAGCCTCGGGTGTTGCATCCTAGCAACACAACATGGACTGAGCTGTGGCTTCTGTATCTTGAGCAGGACGGTTCCCTTGGAAGCCGCCGCCGGCTTCCGGGAGATCAGCTCCAGGCCACGCGAGGCCCGCTGCTGCGTCTCTGGACACAGCCCCTGGGGCCCCGACCCAGACTAGCCTGGACCCTTTCCCCAGGTTTGTCACCTTGACTCCAGGGAGAGAAAGTGTCATCTCTGCTGTCAAAGCCAGCGGAGCCAGCCTGGTGGCAGCTGCCTCACTTGCCTCCTCCCCTGTGCAGAGAGCTAGCGGTTTTCGTCGCTTGCAGTCTTGAGTAACACGACCCTTTGTGGCCCGTGCGGAACACAGTTCAGACATGATGGCCGCACAGCGAAGTTTATTGTGTCCATTGTCACGCTAGTGACTTTCTCCTTTCATTTGCCTGAGTATATGACCACCTCTCAGGTAACAGGCAGTGCAAGCTGTAGTCAGAGAGTCAGTGTCCGTCAGTACAGAAGTGTTCACAAAAGGGAGATGCGTCTGAACTGAACTTTCCCTCTTTAATGTTTTTAGCTGAAATAAAAAAAGCCTTTCCGTGTTTTATGACACTGGAATAGAATTCGTACAGAAATGACTTAAGCATTTGGAAGACTGTCAGGCAGAGCCTGTAAGTTAGACTTTATGCTAAATTTATCCCAGATACCTTATAGTTGGCCCTTGTCTCTAACTACTGTCCTGTCTCCAAGTGGGACAGGAATTCGTTGGTCCTAAGATTACTCGAATGATCTTAGCACTGTAAGACGGCAGCCACTTGTAAAGTAATGCGTGTCGATAAACTTGAGAAAAGAAGCGGTCTGTGAATATCAAACACACCTGTCTGCCCAGCACCCCTTTTCTCCTTTCTTCAGGTGACATCATTCTCCTTTAGGGATAGGAGCGTTGTCATAAAATAGAGTCATTTGTGTCAAACCTAACAAGAACAACAAAAAGAATAAAAAAAGCCAGGAGGCTATAAAAGGAAAGTTCCCACAGATGATTGCCTGGTGACAAGAGATTCTGCCGGAATCCCAGGCTTGCACAAAGGTGGGCACAGCCTTTCACAGAAAGCCCCTCCATAAGGACATTTGCCAGCAACTGTGTGTTCATCCTCGGACTGACATCGCCCTCATTGCTAATTTCAGGTTATCTTATGTTTTTTGTTTTTGTTTTTATTTGTTTGTTTTGGCTTTTGTTTGTTTGGTTGGTTTTTTTGAGACAGGGTCTCACTATGTAGTTGAGACTGACCTGGAACTCACTTTGTAGCCCAGGCTGGTCTCGCGAATTCACCGCGATCCTCCTGCCTCAGCCTCCTGAGTGCTGGGATTACAGGCGTGTGCCACCACGCCCGGCAATTCTCCCCATTTTAAAGACAGAAATCAGAGGAAGGTAAAGCAGTTTGGTTAAGGTCGCAGGCAGTAAGGAGGAGAGCTGGAATTCACACCAGGTCAGCTTTCACTGGGGTTACACCAGACCCTAAGCCACCCTCCTCTGTCACCCCCTCGCAGCCATGTTTATGCTCAGTGATCTTGGACCAGGTCACTCCAGCCTGACCAAGCCCAGCACTTCAGGAAGATAGGAAGTCTTGGTAGTGGGCGCCCCACATGGGAAACCCTGAAGGCCATGACATAAAGGGAGCCGGTTGCTGCTGGAAAACAAATAAAACCGGCTATAGAGAAAAGCAGAGGCAAACGCCAGAGAACTTCAGGTTCCTGGTTCCTGTTGTCTTGAGATGCCTTAAAGCCTACATTTAAGAAACAAAAACAAAAAATACACAACTGCTTTATTGAGATAACTCACAAACCATAGAATTCACCCATTTAAAGTGTGCGGTTAATCTTCAGCATGTTTAACATGGGCATCAGCAGTATCAGTGGCAACATTTTCAACCTCTCTGAGAGGAATCAGTACCCCTTGGCAGGGAATCCTCAGCCGCCCTGCTACAGTTGGCATCTGGAATGTGCCCAGAGGCTCCTGGATGATTGTTTTCACCCAACTGGGCTGAAAGCTCTGAATCCAGGAGCCAAAAGAAATCTTGTTTTTTTGGTTGTTTTTTTTTTTTTTTTGGTTCAGGAAAGCAGTCTTTTAAATCATTTCTCTCAGGGATTTTGTTACAGTAACAACAGTAATTTAACATCTCCCTACCCAAGCCTAAGGCAGCCATTGATCTTCTTGTCTGTGGATTCTCCTCCTCAGACGTGTCCTATATGAAATCAAATAACTTGTAGTCTTTTGGGACTGGCTTCTTTCACAGAACATGATGTTTGCAGCATGCACTGTTGTAGCATGGAGTGTTGCTCATTTATTTTTATTGCTGGATAATATTCCACTGTATGGACATACCACATTTTGTGGACCATGAGCGACCTTCATATTCTTCTGATTTTAAGAATAATGCTACCATGTACATTGATATTCAAGTTCTTGCATGGACCCGTGTGTTTTATGTGGACAGATGTTGACTCATTTCTCTTGAGTATGTAATTAGGAACGGAATGGCTAGGTCTTAGGATAACTCTTATGTTTAACGTTTCCAAGAACTCAAGGCAGTTTTACATCCTGCCAGCAGTGTGAGGGTTCCCATTTCTCCACATCCTTGACCACACTTGCTATTACCTATATTTGTCACAGCCATCTTAGTGGGTGAAAGGTGGTACCTCACTGTGGGCTTGATTAGCAGGTCCCTATGGCTAGTGATGTGCTGACAGACCACCCGTGTTCTTCCTTTGAGAAGTGTCTGTTCAGATCCTCTGATTGCAGGATTTTCATGAGAGATTGAGGCCGGAGTAGATCTGTAGTGAGGGAAGACTCAGAAGAAACCCTGCACTGGAGACTGGGCTTCCCATGTTCTTGTTGCAGGAGTCCTTTCTCTTTTTTTTTGTACCGGGAATCCAACTTGGGTCCATGTGCTTGCAAGGCAGGTAGCAGCACCACCCAGCTAAGTGCCCGGCCTGTAGGAGCCCTTTCTTAAAACTCTGAGCTTGTTTCCCTAGCTTTTAAATTGGGAAAATAATATCTTCTAATAAGGTCATTCTGTGACTGAAATAAGAAAACATGCATGAGGCTGGGCGTGGTGGTGCACGCCTGTAATCCCAGCACTTGGGAGGCTGAGGCAGGAGGATCACTGCAAGTTCAGACCAGCCTGAGCTACATAGTGAGTTCCAGGTCAATCTCAACTATATAGTGAGACCCTGTCTCAAAAAAAAAAAAAAAAAAAAAAAAAAAAAAAAAAGAAAACATGCATGTACAGTGGACCCTTGACTTATGAACTGAACTTGTTCACAAGGGCCAGTTGTAACTCAGCTTGGTCAGGCTGCTCTCCACAGCCTTCAGAGTCCTCTCCTGTACACAGGCAGATCTCAGTGTCCTCAGAGAAACATTGGCCCAGGATTTCTCAGTTAACCCCACAGGAAGGGACGTTGTGATGCTCCTTCCAGAACTCTTTAAGGGTGAGATCTGTATCTGAGACTCTTTGGAAGCACAGGGGCCAACATAACTCAAGACATTGGTTGTAAGTTAAAACTGAAATTCTGATTGTAACCCAAGTTGTTTGTATGTCAGGCCAGTCGTAACTCGAAAGTCCACTGTAGCACTTAGACAGTAAACACAGTAAGTGGGAGCTCTTGTTATCATTTTGTTACTTGCATTTTTTTGAGACAGGGACTCTATGTAGCCCAGGCTGGCCTTGAACTCGGTGATCCCCCTGCCTCAGCCCCTCAGTGCTGAGATTATAGGCGTGTGTCATGATGCCCTGCTTTATTCCTTTTAAAGGTAGTAACACAATCTGAACTGGAAGACTGATCTGGCCCTGTAACCCTGAAGCGATGACAGAGCGAGTGCAGAGGAAGGACTGTGCCTCTGTGTGCCGGGGTGCTACTCAGCTGGCCTGGTAGGGTGGCAGCTCATGCACCCCCTCATCCCCTGGGGCTGTGCACACCTGTTCTCGTGAGTTTTTCACACCCATGAAGCTCGGAAAGCCCTCACCCGGCACAGTCCGGGCCTCCTTCACATCCCAAGGAGCAAAGCTTGTGCTCCAACCTCACCGACCTTCACAAGCTAAGCAGCAGCGTGGCTTCCTCTTCCTCTTGCTTTCCGGCTCGGTGATTTTAGGTTATGTTTCTGGCTTAGAGTTTTATTTGTCTGGGACTGTTCTTAAATCTCCTAAACGAGACAGGATTGAACAGGCCACGCTTGGATTCCAGAGAACCCCCAGGACAGGGACAGAGCCAGAGCTGGTAGAGGCACTTGAGTAAGCGGCACTCTGCTCAGGAAGGAAGGCTGGAGGTGACTCTGCAAACAAATCCGAGACCTCAAAGCCAGAACCCTCAGGCCTGCTACCAGGAAAGGCTGAAGTGTACAGGGGAGGAATCGATGTAGAGGTTCAGAGTTCTGCCCTCTTGATCTTTGAGTCATTGTGTGCTTATCGTTCGTTTCTTGGTAAGGTACAGAATTGTCATTAAATCGGGTTTCGGACACAGGCTTGTGCTGAGTTCTCTGTAGGGAGTGTTCCTGGTGAGCTGCCCCAGCAAGTCCCTTCCTCCCAGCCGAAAATATTTAAGGCTGGTTAAGTGATACTAAGAAGAAAGTAAGGAACAGCCTCAAGAGGAAGATAAGACGTTCCACTGAGGAGTCCAGGGCCGAGCAGCGTGCTCCCAAGCTGCTCCCGGAGTTGAAGGAATGGAGAAGTGTTAGTCAGCATTGGGGTGGTTTTATTTTTTTCCACTGCCCATCAGCTCAGCTCTTGCCACACCCCCAGTCCTAGGATCCCATGGGGTGGAACCTTTCCACGTCCTCAGGGCATAGGTTAAAGGGACTGGGAAATTGGAGGCGAGAACTGGCCCACCCACCTCGGGATCCCCCGGATCAGATCCTGTCCTTTCTGACGGGAAGGCAGCCAGCTGGCCCTGGGAGCCAGAGCCCCACGGAAGCCAAGGCATAGGTCAGCGGGCAAGGGGGACGTGGGTGACGAATGGTGCGGGTCCATCACCAGGGCTGGGCAGATGGAAGCAGTGTGGAGGGCTATGGTATCGGGTGCTCCAGAGCAGCGGAGTGGGATAGAGACACACACTGTGGAGAATTGTTACGGGCACTGCCTCATGGCGGCAAGAAGTCCCGTAATGTGCCCCTGGCTGGTGGGAGAAGCAGGAAGGCAGATGGTTTAATTCAGTCCAAAGGCCTAAGAGCCGGGTGCCCAAGGCCCGGGAGTATAGAAGGTGGGTGTCTTAGGTCAGGGAGAAAGAGCAAGGATCCCCTCTTCTGTGCTGCTGTCCTGTTCAGAGGCTCCGTGCTGGGCGCTTACCTCCCAGAGGCGTCCTCACAAACACTCCTGAAACTTTTCCAGCTGACGGCGCATCCCCTCGGCCACTCATGTCGACCCACAAAATTAAGTATCATGACCCGCAGGAGGTGGTGCACACCTGTAATCCCTACACGTGGGAGACAGAGGCAGGAGGATCGCTGCGAACTTGAGACCAGCCTGGGCTACGTAGTGAATTCAAGGCAAGACTGACCTGGTCAGAAGTTCAGATCTGAGTGAATTCTGGGATGAGCTTGTGGTTGAGGGCCCCTGAGATGACCCCACACCCTGTCAGTCATCCCTGTCAACCACACCTGCAGATTTGGTGGGTAGCACCTACGGTAGAGGTGTCTGACCTGAGTTATGCGCCCCTTTTTGTTGTGAGGCTGCTTTTGTGTGTTTGACCTGTGTGCAGTGCTTTCGTGTCACCCTAGTACCCTCTCCTGGCCTGTCTCACCTTTGTTGGCATGGACTGGCCCTGCGCACAACCTCGGGTGACCGTCAGGAAGGTAAGCTGCTCGATACTTACTACTGGGTGTGTGCTTGGTGATGCGTTCTGTCCTCCTCGCGCACAAGGACCTAGACTATTACTGGGCCTTCCCTGTACCACTTCTCTCGGTTTCTCCTGAAAGTTGGTATCTGATCTAGCTAGTTGATGAAGGTTTTGGCGAAGCCTCTTCAGAGGTGTCTCCACCAGAAAGCAATTAGTGTTTTCCTTCCTTTTTCAGGTATTTGGAATGATTGTTGATCATGGCTTAGCTATATCAGCTCATTAAAATAGTGACATTCTTAGCTGGGTGTGGTGGTGAATGCCTATCATCCCAGCACTCAGAAGGCTGAGGCAGGAGGATCCCTGTGCGTTTGAAGCCAGCCTGAACTACATAGTAAGCTGAAGGCTAGGCTGAATTATAAAGCAATACCCTATCTCAAAAAAACCAAAACCAAAAAAGTGATATTCTAATTTTATCATTCCTTCTTTTAATATTTGGAACATTATAAAAAAAGAAACTGCCCCTCATCAGTTATTTGGTTACCTTGGAGTGTAGTTTGCAGAGAAAAGGTAACAGTAGTTAACGTTTTGGATTTCTTTCTTTTTGTTTACTAATTATCAAAATAATGAGCTAATTCCTTAGCATCCAGGGATGCTCTGAGGAGTTGTTATTTTTATTTTAGTTATTCTTTTCAAGGTGGTTATGCTGGAAACCTGATATACAGTTAACTTTTTTTTTTTTTTGTACTAACGATCAGACTCAGGATCTCACACTGCAGGCAGGCACTATTTTTTCCTTATTTAATTTTTTCTTTTTTTTTTTTGTATTTTGAAACAGGGTTTCGTGATGCAGTTCAGGCTGGTCTTGAACTCACTATGGAGCTGATCACTCACAGTGATCCTCCTGCCTCAGCCTCCCGAGTGTTGGGATTACAGTCATGTCCCCACACCCAGCTTTTTTCCTTACTTTTTCATTTTGCATTCAGTATTAGATACCATTTTGATGAGTTAATTGTTTTTAGAATTATAAAAAATATGGGTTCCAAAGTGAAATACAAAACAAGGAAATTATGCAAAGAGGTTGAGTGTCTATTTCTGTTCTTTCCAATGTTTCTTTTTCCGATAGACAAATATTCTTTTAAATGATGTATCTTTCCTGGTTCTCTTTTTATATAAACATTATCCTTTATACTCACTTTTTTTTTTTTTTTTTTT